ATACAATACAATATATACAATATACAATACAATACAATATATACAATATACAATACAATACAATATATACAATATACAATACAATACAATATATACAATATACAATACAATACAATATATACAATATATACAATATACAATACAATACAATATATACAATATACAATACAATGTATACAATATACAATACAATATATATATTGTATATTGTATATATTGTATTGTATATTGTATATATTGTATTGTATATTGTATATATTGTATTGTATATTGTATATATTGTATTGTATATTGTATATATTGTATATATGCGCAATAATTACTTATTAATATATATATTATTAATATTAATATATATATCGAACGACGACGCTACAAACTTTGCTCAACCTCACTCGCCCTTCACGCATACCAACATTCGAACCTTTTCATTTTTCCACGAAAAGTCTCTCTTCCGAGAAGTTTTATTTTCAACGACAAAAACGGCCCCGAATCAGGAGCAAACCAAGATTAAAATTATCGATCAAAAATACATTCGATTAACACCATTTAAAATTCCTGTATCGCAGGCACGCTCCAGTCCCAAGACCGAAGCCTCCACCTCTACCACCACCGAAGACATCCAAGCCACCAAAGACATCCGAGCACGCATCCACGGATAGAACCTCGGGAAAGAAAATCGACAAGAAAATCGGTACCAGAGGTGCCAAGAAGAAGCAACCGTTCGATCCCAGAAATGGATACTTACCTTAAACGTTTGGAAAAAATTCGGTCGGATCGCTGCAGCTGCGTGAACGGTGACGCGTTATTCTCGTCGTTGGAAGTACATTCACCGAACTACCGAAATGGAAATAGTCGCGAAACGGGAGAACGAGAGCGAACGCGAAGACATCGCCACCGCGGAGACGTTTCGTTCGGCTCGGTGCACGCGGTCGCAAAAAGTTCTACGCTGCGCGCAAACAGATTCATTTTTCCCGCGTATTCGCGAACTAACGAACTTTAAGACACGTAGATGCGGAGATGTAGTTGATTCGTAACAAATTCTCGCCGTTCTCGGACAAACTATCGGTTCATCGAACATGTATAAATAGTGACTCGACAGTGGTGTTTCGCTAGTACCGAGAAGAATCGCCTTCGAAGAACTGCATTAAATTTCACGCGTGACTCCTTGAATGCACAAGCTCGGCACTGAACATGTGCGTTTATCGTAGAGTTCGTATACTTCGTAACGTTCGCCGACGAGCTTCGAACGTCGACAAGGACAGCGAATAAAGAATATCGAATTAGAATACCGGGTTACGTTACGCTACACGGCGATCGAAATAGAGTAGAGAAATTTGTGCATTTAAGGAGACATTACCGTGTACCGTCATTTCGCTGACTAGTTGAAACGAGTCCAGCCTGAAACCCATCGAATATCATCCCACCGGAGTATACAAGACCTCCGGCGTCCTAAAGCACGCTCCAGTTCCAAATCTGTCCTCGCGAAGCGTCGGTAATTAGGACGTTTACCTTGTCCTCCAGAGAAAAGGACGTTGCACGAAAGGGGACGTTGCACGCCAGGGCGTTATTCCCTAGGAGCTGGACGAGGTAGAAGCGAGAGGTAGCGATAAAAGGTTCCGGAAGGGGGTGAAAAACGCGAGAGGAGGGACCCTCCGTCGAGGATGGGACTGCGCGTGCTCTGGCACTCTCCTCCGCTACCCTCTCGCTGGCACGGACGGGGTTGCGAGCCGATATTGTCGGGCAGGCGCACTGGGCGCGCGACATCGAGGATGACAATAAAAAGTGAACGCATAAATCGCGCCTAAACGCACGTTAACCTCAGAGGGGGGGACTGGCGGCCGTCGCCACCGAAAATGCGCACCGGCCGCGATACGGATAAAGGAGAACCGTCGCGTTCGATGTGATCACTTTGTGCGCGTAACGTCCACGTAGGCGTCGCGACGCCGGGACACCGTTGTGACCGCGGACGAATACACCATTAACGTCGTGGAATCATGAACAACTCGCCGCAGAACACGGAGGTGGCCGGGCAACAGCACCGTGCCGCCGTTGAGAACAGCGACGAGGAGGAATGGAGTGGTGTCGTGGAATGTGTAATGTTATTGCATCGACTCGTGTATCGAAAGAATGATTTTTATTTGCTGAAACAGCCTTCCTCGAGCAGTTTCTTGTTGCCCATTTCGAGTTGTTTTTCGTGGTCAAGGAAATTCTGTGGGTTGCACAACGTGTGTTGAATCTTTTATTACCTAACAATTCTTGCACCCCTTTATTTCGTTGTTGTTACATGTGATTGTTGTCGATGTCTCTACTGCACAGTTATCGCATTTACGTTCTCTCCGTTGCTCGTGTCTTCGATTCGTCGCGTCGATCGGCGACCAGACTTTTTTTTTTCTTTTTTTTATCTCTTCTTTTCTTTTCTTTTCTTTTCTTTCGTTTCCTTCTGGTTAATTCGCGTTAAACGCCGACCCGGACGTCGCGGAACGTTCGAAATCGTTCCGTTCTGGGATTTGCACTGGTTTCTGTATCTTTTTTTTTCTTTTTCTTTATTTTTTCTTTTTCTTTCTTTCTTTCTTTCTTTCTTTTTTTTTTTTTCTTCTTTTGACGCTAGATTTCCATAGCTGTAGAACGCTGATGTCGTCACGCTGGCCTGTTAGAATTCTTTCTGCATCTAGCGAGAAGTTTACCAATTATCATTTTTCGGTCCGTTCACGGAAGACGGTCTCTCGAGAGACGAAACCGAAGACATCCGTGGTAACGCTATAGTAACGTGTTCTTTCATAGGCCGTGCTGGAGAGGTCAAAGTCAGATCGGGTGACACGAACGGATGAAGATAGACGCCGACGTACTATTATCGTCGAGAAGAAGAATGGCACGTACGGTTTCACCTTACAGGTAACGCAACCCATACACGTGGCTCCGTCCCTATCGCGGACAGTGCAGGCAGGCGTGCGTCGCACTGTTTCCATCTTGTTTTTTTTCCGATTCTTTTCGTTCTGCATCGGTGGCACCGTACGTCGTGGTCTATCGTTCCAAGCTACTTCAGCCAGGCGAGAAGTTTCGGAAATAACGAGACAGTGATTCTTAACGATAGCGAAATTGTCGAGTTTCGCACCTTCTGCAGACTTCAGAAAGATATAAGTTTCCTTCGGTTTAGAAAGTATTCGGATATCAAATATTGGGTCGGCCAAAGTGTCTCGGACCTATCCAGACCTAATCACAGCGTTTGGTAAAGTTTTTGGTGGGGCAATATTGAATATCGTTCTTCTAC